GAAGAAGAAGAAGAGGAGGAGGAGAAGGGTGGTTGGCGCTGCTGGCGGGAACAGTTGCTGGTGGTGGTCGGAGGTCGTCGCTGGTGGTGGTGGTGGTGGTGACTCGCTGAAAAAGGAGGGAGGTCGAGAGAGAAAAATCCGAGAAAGAAAGAGAGTGAAGATGTGAGTTGTGTGTAATGAATTTTGGTGTTAGGAAAGGGGTATTTATAATTGTAGAATTGCAAGAATAAAGGTAATCTAATGCAAGAAGAAGTATGGAAATTATTAGCTTAAAGAATTACTTGGATGGCAAAATAAATATTAAGGCTAGTGTTTACTTGATGAATAAGTAGAAAATAAGTTTGAAAGTCTTGATTGCAGGTGATTATAAATGAAACTTTAGGAAATAATAGAATTATTGCTTGGAGAATAAGTAGGAAAGACTTAATATAAAACATATTTGATCAAATCTAAACAAAATATAAGAGAGATATTATTTATATAATTAGAAAAATTAGAAAATTCATTTATTATAAGGTAAGATAATTATTTTATTTAAATTCTAAAATTATATTTTATATCAAATAAAGGAAATTTTGTCAACAGCTACCATTTAAATAACCACTTTTGAGAACAACTACCAATTAATTTATTTATTTTTTTTGAAAAACTACCACAAAAACACAAAAAGTTAAAGTAGCACTACCACTTTTGGTTTTCCGACAAGAATCTCCTGTTAGTGGGATTTACTTTATACAATTTCAATCAATTGCGATAGAGATAACAACGAATCAGTGCCCGAACACAATTAAAGGTAAATTATCTTAGGTTTCGCATTGTAGATGATTTAATTTCTCAATTGAATAGTAAAATTAGGGTATTTGTGTCAAAAAAATTGAATTTAAGATTTTAAAAAATTGCGGGATTTGGTGCAATTGAATTGTACTACCCAATAGGGTCAATATAGAGACAATTTTGTTAGTTCATATGTGTTTTTTGGACGGAAATTTTATAAATTAGGTATTCTTAACCGGAGATTCTTGTTGGAACACCAAAGGTGGTAGTGCTAATCAAACTTTTTGTGTTTTTGTGGTAGTTTTTTCCAAAAAAAAGAAAAAAAAAATTAATAGGTAGTTGTTATCAGAATTAGCATTTAAATGGTAGTTGTTGACAAATTTTTCCTCAAATAAAATGTTCAAAGTTACAACTCCCTTTCATTCATCACATTTTATTTGATCATAAAATCAGAAAATTCAAGCTTCCAAAAACCCAATGTTATTTTCTAAAATTGTGACATAATAAATAAATAAATAAATTCAGTTTTTATTTTCTTTTATATATATAATTTTCAATTTTCTAAAATAATTAATATAGGTAATTTTATTTTAAAATTTCGGACCATATAATTAGGCATTTGATTTTTTTTTAATGGAAATATTCAAAAATTATATATTCTAATTATAATATCAATTTTCTTAAATAATTAAAATAGATTATTATTAAAAATTAATAATTAAGTTTAAAATAGATTTGGCGCCTAAATTCAAATGTTCATTTGGATCTAATATTCAACCAAACCAATTAGTTAACTAAAATACCCTTTTAAATAATAATTAATTAGAAAATAATAATAAAAAATACGGGGCATTACATTTTAAATCAATTGTAATATATTTTTCTTTTGGTAAGTTATTATTACTTAAACATAATTTGTTATAAAAATTGTGTCTAGCACGAGACTTAAGTTTGTAATCTAATAAAACTATAGTTATTTTTCATTTTTAATCAATAACATCTAAGTTTGAAAAATTGATCATATAACGTTGTAACTTTACAATTTATACTAAGGGCCTATTCTGTTCACCTATTCACTTATTTCAGGTCTAATAAGTTCAAATAAGTTTAATTAAGTTTAGATAAGATAAGTTTAAGAAATATAAGTTGAGATAAGGGTTACCAAATTACAAATCAAATCAAATATATATAAATAAAGTAGGCATTTTTCGAAAGCATTCGACGCGCCACATAAGCAAGAGACTTATTTCAACCAATAAATAAAGAGATTTGTATTTTGTTTTAAAATTTAAAAAAATCAATCACGTCATGTAAGCAAAATTATCAAATAAGATTTGAGAATTTATATTAATTAAATATAACAAATTATCTTTTAATATTAGGAATTTATCTATGTATAAGGAAAGAAATTCATAATTTATTTTAAAATAAAAAATCAATAATAAGCCAATTTTAAAATCATAAAATGGTTGATTTAAAAAAATACAAACAAATTGTGCATCGCATGAGAAATTTTAAATCTCTACATAACTAAAAGTATTATTTTGACCAATGAAATTTTTTTCCATTTAACTTGTGGGATTATTAACTTGTACATTAGATAATTTTTTTTTTTTTTTTTTGTGATTTTAGTGACACGTGTCACTACATAAATGGTAAAAAAAAGCCTAAAAAAAAACCAAGCCACTCCAACCACCGACGCCACCTTCCAACAACAGTCCCTCCCCACCCATACACCCTCCGAAAACCCTCCTCCCCCACCCCCCCCCCCCCACAACCGGAACACACCTTCCCACCCCCACCCAATGAAAACAACCCCATTCCCCTAAAACCACCACAATTACAGCCGTCTTTCCCCTAAAACTTCCCCAACATGGTTTTCGTTGGGTGGGGGCAAACTAATTTAAGAACGTTGCTTTATAATTTGACAAAAGAACCCTCACACAAATACTTGAATACATAAATTGTACGTGTAATTTTATATTTAAGCTTTACAACCCAAAAATTCATAAATTATATTGTGCATCATACAATCCAAAAATTGAAAAATTGCATAAACTATTATTTAAATAAAAATTACATCTTCAAGTCTTTACTTTTTTTTTTTAAGAAAACAATAATTAAGTTGAAAAATGTAAATCAATTACCAAATCTTATACAATCAAGATTATCAAATAATATACAATTGTGACTTCTAATTAATAATCCTAACAAATTAACAATTTCTAATTCAAGTTTAGGACCGGATACAAGACTTTTCTTTTACAGGTTCAAAGTTTTCAAACCTTAGACAATTTAATTATATTGATATGTATGTAATAAAATCAATGCCTTTGCCCATAATCCTATTATTACAACCAATAATTTGGGGTTGCAATTTGAGCAATTATTTTAAATTTAATGTAAATTGCTAAGGTAATTTAGAAGTTAGAACATGATTTCATTAAATAGTACTACTTCTAGTGGAATCAATGGGGTCGGGAAAGGAACGACAATTACTTTTGGGTTTTATATAAGAGAAATAAAATTACATACCGAAGAAAAGGAAAAAAGAAAAAGGAAATGTTTCATAAATGAATAACATAAAAAAAATAAAAAAAATAAAAAATAAGACATTTGTATGAAGTAGTAGGGATACGAGCAAGGAAAGGGGAAAATTTTAAAATAAAAATAAGCCTAGAAAAAAAAATGCTAGATGTAGGAATTGACATGCCACAAATAATCCTTGTAGACACTTTAACCACTAGACCACCTCCTCTGCACACAATTGTTTATATTTATTTATTATTTTCAAAAGTGGGGGGACAACTGTCCCTCTTTGTCCCCACCTAGCTCCGCCTCTGGTTTTAACAACAGTATGATTACAAAATTAATATCATTTCTTTCATTTACTTATTCATAATTCGTATACAAGTATATAGGTTATAGGTTATTAAAATATGTAACCTAAAAATGCACAGCAATTTTAAAAGGTTTTTTCTATTAGCCGCAAAATATATTTATTTTATCGAGGATTTTCTTATGATAACGGAAGAATAAAATCCTTCTAACAAATAAATTAAACTTATGTAAAATTTAGGTTATTGCATATTGAATAATGAAATTTGATGCTTAATAATATTTACAATAATATACAAATGATAAATTTTTTTTTAATTAAAATAATAACTCAGAATATCGTATGGGACAAAAACTAGTTTAAAGATTAAAACTCAACAAAAGGACCTTTACTAAAATACCCTCAAAGAAGATAAAAAATGAAAAAAAGACCACCAAAGAAAGGGTAAAAAAAAAGGAATTAAAATAATCCAATAATCCAAAAAAGCATGAATGGAGTTACTAGTGTCATTGGTGAGTGTTGAACGGTGGAGATGATATCTTCAAACTTTTTTTATAGTTTGGATTGATACACCTTTTTAGGGTATGAGCAAACACATAGCTACAACTCATGCTAATGTCATTAAGTTACTAGAGAAAGTACTATCCTACGCACTTGTAGTTTATATTTTTTCTATATTTTACTCTTTTCCTATGAATGGACTATTTTTAACGTAACTTTTATTTTTCCTAGGTCGGTATTCATGTGCCCAATATCAACTATAAAAACGCAAATTAAGGGAAATACAATGGTAAATATTTTTAAAAGGAAATGCATCTTTCCCTCAAAAAAAAAAGAAAAAAAAAATGCATCACTTTAAAAAGGAAGAAAATTAATTAGACCACAATATTAATATAGTCATTATTTTTGGACAAGATCAATGTAACAGAAATGAGATGTAAAACTTTGTCAACCCAAAGGCCAACTTTGAAAAAAAAAATCCACCTGTTTCATTTATTTTTTTATTTTTTTTTTACTGGCAACACTTTTTTAAGATGATCATCTATATATGTCACTTTTACTCGCTTGTAAATCATTAAGTAGATCAAATTGTTGCATTAATAAAATGTCGGAGAGAGCACTTATATAAGGCGTGAAAACTAAGGAGATCGGTATCATTTTTTCTATTTTACGTTATGAGACTGTATTGCACTAGAATTTATAAAGGGGTGCGTTAAGTCAGTGGGGGAATGTGATTTTATTGGTAAATTACCAGTTATACCACCACTATCGCTTGGTTGATCATAAGGCCACATTGCATGCTCCATGTTTTTTCGTATAAAACATAAAGGTTTCTTGGACACCATTCAGAAGAAAGAAATACTTAGAAAAATTATAAAAAAAAAAAAAAAAAAGACATAAATATTAATTAAAATACCCAAGAAAAAAAAATTAAAAAAAATAAAGAGAGATAAGCGTTTAGCAAAGCAAAGCATTGGCATTGCACAAAGAAAGACACCCTCTTTCTCCTCTACCTACAACTTTATCTCATAAATTCATCAATACCCAGAAAACTCAAATAATAACTATTCATATTCTTTGATTTTTTCCAACCCGTTTTACCCATTTCCAGAAATTTAATTATTTGTGTTTTGTATGTTTAATAAACTCAGTTTCATCCCCTTTCAAACGGATTAAAAAGATAGAATTTTTCTGCATTTTTTCTGTGTAATTTTGTTGCAGATGTAAGCAACTGAAGATCTGTGGCCGATCTTTGTTGGGAATAAGACTGTTTAAAGTCTATTTTTGTTGATTTTTGTGCCCGATCCTTGGTGGGTTTGTTGCTCAAAAGAAGGATCTGTAAGTGTTTAATTCTTTTACCGTTTGTTTTGATTAAATTTCTTGATACTATTTGGTTGGTTTTGATTGTTCTTGGTTTACTTGATGATCGAGTTTTAATTTTTAGTTCAAGAAAATTTGAATTTTATTTGGGGTTTGAAAACATTTTTATAATCGGTTATGTTTTGATTTTTTTTTATAAAGAAGAGTTTTTATGTTAATTTTATGTTTGGGTTTGTAATAGTTTGATGTTTTCTAGCATGTTTTAGCCATGGATGAGTAGTTGTTAGTTCAGAAGTACAAAAACTTCATTGAGATAGTAGTTATTTAGTCACATTTTTATGTTAAAAATATAGATTGGTGAGAGAAATGAAAAAAACTATAGCACAATTTTGAACCGTTGTTTGTATGTTATCTGAAATGTGTGTGGTTAATGTTGTTTGAATTAGACCATGCTTTATTGGTTTTAGCTAAATATTTAATTTTGGAAGAGTAGATTATCTGAATTTTTGAAGTGGGTGATTGGGAGCTTTGTCTAGTTGTTTGCATAGATTGGTTGCATTGTTTATATTTAATTGTTTCATCAGCTGCATTTTTTGTGATTTTATAATAAATATGGATTGTTTATGTATGGACAGGAAAGGTGAAAGGGATTATGTTGTAATCTCGAGGGAGCTAATTTGTATGGGTGGACGATGCCAGAGCTGCGAAGTGGAGCACGAAGATCGAAGAGGCTTGGTGATCTTCAGCAGCCTGCCCCTGAATTGAATGATCAGGGTGAGAATCTTCTTCCACCTACACAAAACAAAACGAGGCGAAGAGGTGGTGGTAGAGGGAGAGGTGCGAATGCTGCAGCTGGTGTAGCTAAAGGGGCCCAAGCAGCAGTAGGAGCCAGGCAAACCGGTGGTGCTGGTCGTGGTCGGGGTGTTAGAGTAATAGATTTAGACCCTGAAGTTCCTGGTGAAGGTGCTCAGGTTGCACCTGTAGGAGTTGCTGGTGCCGCACAAAATCGAGTGGAGGTTGCCGCTGATAAAGATATTCCAATGGAGGGAGCAAGTGGTGATAAATTGGTGGCTGCTGAAGAGGATACTAACCTTACACCTGTTCCTGAAAGGGTATATACTCTTTTCCTTCATAAAAATGTTATTTCACTTATTTGTTCCTATGGTTTAATTTTATGGTTTTAACCTTATTTACTGCATTGTGGTATTGACAAAATCTGTTGTCACTCTTTCACTGGTATGTTATTTTCACTGGATATGTTATTGTTTTCCTTTTTAAAGTGTGTGTAGAACTGTAGACTATGAGTTGATGCCAAGTCAATTTGTTGTGTTCATTGTGGTTTGCATACTTGTTTAGTCTAATTCTCACCTTTCATGAAAATATTTATTTGCCTTATTTTGTCTGCTTTGCATTTCATCCTCTTGAGATAATTTAGTGTCAATTTTTTTCCAGGTTCAAGTGGGCACTTCACCTGTATATAAGATTGAGCGGAAGTTGGGTAAGGGTGGTTTTGGCCAGGTTTATGTTGGCAGAAGAATGGTTGGTGGTAGTGACAGGATAGGACCGGATGCTGTTGAGGTAACTTATGTTCAAATTTGCTATATTACATCTTTGCATTATGAGGAATAACTGTTTGCATATCTTTTGGCTCCAGGTTGCTGTAAAATTTGAACATCGTAACAGTAAAGGTTGCAATTATGGCCCTCCTTATGAGTGGCAGGTTTACAAGTAAGTATTGTATATTTTTTTCTTAGCTTTTTGGCAATTTATTTGTTTTTAATGTGTAACTAATTTCTCACATGTTATTAGCTCCTTGAATGGATGCTATGGCGTTCCTTCTGTTCACTACAAAGGGCGGCAAGCAGAATTCTACATTTTGGTAAGTAGTTGGCACTACAAACTCCTTAGATGATGAATGGATTTGGAATTTCATTTTCTATAACGGTATTCCGTATTTTCTCAGGTCATGGACATGCTTGGACCAAGTCTATGGGATGTTTGGAACTCTCTAGGACAATCGTAAGCATCTTTCACCCCCGCCCCCCCCCCCCCCTTCCTCAAATCCACACACAGAAATGATTGTTTATGCCACCTTTATTGTTTGCATGTCTTTATGTGTGATACACAATGAGTTTATGACTGACTACTTGAAACAGGATGTCTCCCAATATGGTAGCATGCATTGCTGTGGAGGCAATATCAATCTTAGAAAAACTTCATTTGAAAGGGTAAAGACCTTTTGACATGTTAGCTTATCTTATATATACCTCTTTCCCTTTTGTATTTTTGTAAATTATATGTATGTTGATTAGTGAGCTTTTTCTTTTTGTTGAAGTTTTGTGCATGGCGACGTTAAGCCGGAAAATTTTCTTCTCGGTCAACCTGGAACTGCAGATGAGAAGAAGTTATATCTTATAGATCTTGGTCTAGGTATGTCAATTAATTTTCTCAATTTTTTCTGAACCCCCTCACAATAAAGCAAAGATAACAAATGTGTTCAAGATCACGTTCTCTTTTTAGTTATTCCATGTGTTGTCCTTAAGCAGCTAGGCACACTTTTCTTGCTGCTGTAATGCCCTCTTTTTTTTGTTTATGCTGGTGGGGTTTATCTTTACTTCCAGAAGCATCATGTGTTGTCTAAACCATGCAAGTCCTCATGCTGTCTTTTAACTATGCGGTTAACTTCTTTTGTTCAGCATCTAGATGGAAAGATGTATCATCTGGGCAACATGTTGAATATGATCAGAGGCCTGATGTATTCAGGTTTGCAAACTGCTTAATGATTTACGCTTGAAAGATTAGAGCTCTTGCATTTCATTTACTAGTGTATGACGACAAATATTTGTGCTCTTTGGTAGGGGAACAATAAGATATGCAAGTGTCCATGCACACTTGGGTCGAACAGGCAGTCGGAGGGATGATCTTGAGTCATTGGCATATACTTTGATCTTTCTTATTAAAGGAAGGTTACCATGGCAGGGTTATCAAGTGAGTTAAAAGTATTGATTTTGATTTATTTTAGATGATTTAGTAACTTGTCTGACTTTATTTTTCAACTTGATCAGGGAGACAACAAAAGTTTTCTTGTTTGTAAGAAAAAAATGGGCACCTCTCCAGAGTTGATGTGTTGTTTTTGTCCTGCCCCATTCAAACATTTTCTTGAAGCTGTGACTGTCATGAAATTTGACGAGGAGCCAAATTATGCAAAACTTATATCACATTTTGATAGTCTAATTGAGCCCTGTGCACCACTTAGACCTATTAAAATTGATGGGGCCCTTAAGGTTAGGAATTTGGGTTTTATTTTTAAGCCTACTTATATATGTTTGATGAAGAGAAGTTTTCAAGTTTTTTAATTCTATGTTCAATACTTAGGTGGGCCATAAACGAGCGCGGATGCTCCTTACCATGGAGGAAGATGAGCAGCCAAAGAAAAAAATACGATTAGGTAGTCCAGCAACTCAGTGGATTTCAGTTTATAATGCTCGTCGTCCCATGAAGCAGAGGTAAATTGGAAAATAATAAGTCACATACTTGTATTTTACTTGCCTGATTTTATATTTGGAGCATCTAGTGATATTTTTAAATTGTATAATATGAAGATATTTTGGCAAAATTGACCGATCAAATTGGATTATGCATTTATTCTAACGAGTCTAGGGAGTATTAGCTTATGTGATTATGCATTCAGTAAACTACTTCATAGTTACTTATAGAAGATGAGCTTAGTTATAGGTGAGTGGTTGTTCTAGATTGATTGTGTTATATGGTACAAAGTATGCCTTATTCTCTTTTCTAGATTTTGTGAAGATGCCAATCAGTTCAAGTTAGTAACATTTTGGACATACTTGCCAATAACTACTTTGTCCATCAATATCCTTAAATTACCTATTATTAAAATTTTAAAAAAGCATAATCTTTTGGAAAATATACATATACATTAAGATAATCCTGTCAACATCTTACATACTAAACTTCATATCTTAGCGAAAGAAGATTGTCCAAGCGGGATGTGAGTAGTATAAAATTTCAGAATGATGCGAGTTTATGTTGACGGAGGGAGTATAATGTGGATAAAAGATGTCCTTTATGGATTATCCCTAAATACTAAGCCATGTTCCATTCTTGAATTTCCCAAAATATTAGTCCATTTTATATCTTTATATATATATATATATAATTTTTTTTTTTTCATGTAGCACAGTTATTTTACTAGCTGTTTGTGAGTCAATTAGTTGTTAGTTTGATTTTAGCAGGTGGGCAAATTTTGTTCATTAGGTAGATATCATATTTTGGTTCATAATATGATATCATATTTGATTTTCTATACGGAATAATCACTTTTGGTTCATGTTGCCGACCTCACTTATGGGATTAAGGCTTTGATTGAGGTAGATATCATATTTTCCCTCCATTTTATATTGTCCTAACCACTTTTTAGGGTTTACACCCTCTCACCTTTTTGCCCTATGTCTTTTACTTCAATTACCTATTTGGCTATTTCTTACACCCACTCACCATGGTTAAAAAATGCGGTTGTAGTAGATTGAAATCTGAGGGGATGCGGTTATCGCGAACCGGGTCGCGGTTGTTGTGAGTCTTGTGACATGAATGTGGTTTAAAAATATAGTTTTGGAATTTCAATTTGTACTCAAAAATCATGCTTCAAGAACCGAAAAGAGCATAATAGTAACAAAAATCTAGTATTTTTCTGAATATATTTAAGGTTTACAGCCATTATTAGAGTAATGAGTCAGTAAAGCTGAATCCTTGTCTTAAAAGCTAGGTATTAGAGTGGTAGCGCCAAATATTGGCTGAGACAATTATCATTTGTTGACTTGGGCTAAAACTTGGTCTATTTTTAAGACCGATGCAGTGCAGAAAATATCGGTGAAATATATTTTTGAAAATCGTTAAAACTTGGCCCATATGATATCTTGCGGCCAAGTTTTTACACCATGCTACTTGGTCTCTGTTTTTAGCTAACTTAATGAGTAGAATTTTAAAAAGAGCAGAATATTATTTTATGGTAAGGTTTTCAATTTATTTTAGATATTGAAGCATGTATGGATAAAAATTATGAAGTTTTACTTCCTAAAGCTAGTCTTTCTTTATTTATTATTTATTTATATATTTTTTTAAACACTTGCCAAAAATAAAATATCATTTTTTGCTAAAACCTGAAGTTGTTGAAAACATAATTGGGGCTACTAGTGCCGTTCTCTCTTGGAAATATTAACCAGTGTTGCAGAAGTTAGCATCAGTTGTTTTTAAGGTCATATTAACATCATAAAATGGGTTTTATGCAATATATTGACACCTCTTAATGTGGTGGCGATAGTTCTCTCACTAAATAGGATTTCACAACTATCACAAGGGAGCTAGTTGAGGTTGAACTGAATATTGTATATTGATTAGGTTGGAAGCAGTGTGTTGGCCTTGGTTGTGTTTAAGCTTAATGGATATTGAATGATGTTCTTGTGGGTTTTCAATCTTATTGTGTAGCAGTAATGCAGAATTAGCATGTCTGCTATTCCTTCCCTTTCCTTTGTCTAATACTTGAGGTGAACATGCTCATTTTGACAATCTTCCTTTCCCAAAAGTTGATAACATTTTGGATTAGTTATCAGGAGCTATGTTTAACTCTCGCTCACTCTACTGACGTAGTTGTTAGGTGAATTTACTCATGTTTTGGGTTGTGTTCTGTAGAAACCTTAATCAATGTTTTGGATAGAGTATAAAGGGAACACTTCCTCTTTTTAAAGTGATCAATTTATGAGTTGATTTGTGTCTACATATTTGTTGTGGATGTGTTTTTTTTAAGTAGTATGTGTCCATCCACATAGTTATCATTCCAATCATAATGAGCTTGCTCCTGATTAGGCTTTAGTCTGTGGCTGTTGCTGATATTTATTATGTTTTGGGTGTAAAAAGACACAACATTGCTTTCTATTTACTAGGGAGAATCGATGTTACATTCAAAGTGTCAATTTAAACCATTTGGAGTATAAACTAGTGTGTGGCCCAGACAATACTTAAGGTCATCCAGTCTAAATTTAATATATTTGGGCTTAGTATGAAAGCATAATTGATAGATAGCTAAGATGTAGGACTTCTAATACATTTTTTGGTGGTCTTGAGTTGGAACAGTACCATTGGCATTTTGTGTCATGAAAACATGTTCAATAGTGGAATGGATGACGTGGCATGGTTCTAGTGTTGGAGGAGGTACCACTTGGCATGTAAACTTTATAGGAACGCTTTTTTTTTAATTTTTCTTATTTTTTATAAATATAATAGTATATATACATATGGAGGATTCTCTTAGTAAAGATCTTGACAAATTTGTTGGAGCTTTTCATATTAAGATTTAAAACAGAAATGTTTGCTTTGTATTTAAGCTTAGGTGTATGCTGCATTTTTTAAGAGTTGTCAAAGATAGTATATTACCTCTGTCTTCTGACTTAGTGTGTGAGTACTAACTGTATGTAGGCAAGGAAGACGATAATTGTGTGTAATTCAATTAACAAATGAGCAAGAAGCCAAATGTTCTGGAGTGCGCTAGAAAATGCTTTGATCCGTTTTATGTCATAGCTGTATATAAGACCCTTGATTGTGCTGGGAAAGTTTTGATTCCTTTTTATCTCATAGGTTTTTGTGACCTGACAAAAAGCTGGTTTTAGGCTGCCTGCTTTTTCTTAGCTTTAGTGTGTTTTATATCTTGTGTATGTACTGGTGTTTCTCTACTTGAAGGAACATGTATGGAGACTGTTCTATCCCCTGTTGATAGACTTTTAACTTGAGTATGTGCTTGTGGTTCATAACACACTTTTTTTTTTTCACATGTCATCAAATTTGGAATTGGTACTGGTAAACAGTAAGCTTGCTCTGTTTAACTGTTAGGGCCTTTCTTATCCTATCCATATTATCCGGGATAAAGAATATTAAATTTTCTGCTCTTGCAGATATCACTACAATGTTGCCGATGCTAGGCTTAAACAACACATTGACAAGGGAAATGAAGATGGATTGTATATCAGTTGTGTGGCCTCAGCTACTAACCTGTGGGCCCTAATAATGGATGCGGGAACTGGTTTTAATTCTCAAGTGTGGGAACTATCAAACGTCTTCTTGCATAAGGTTTAAAACGCGTGAGCTGAAAGGTTTCTTGTTTCCAGTGCAGATTTTGACACTGTCTGTAATCTTATCGCTTTCTGCTTTTATATTTGATCTTATTAGGATTGGATCATGGAACAGTGGGAGAAGAATTTCTATATCAGCTCGATAGCTGGTGCATCCAATGGAAGCTCTTTGGTGGTTATGTCTAAAGGTAGTTTGCCAGTATTTTATTCCTCCCCCCTCCTTATAACCACAAACAGCAAAGGCAAAAAATATTTAAGGGTAAATTATCTGATATGATTTTGAAAATTATTGTGTTATTTTGAAATCCAGGGACTTCTTACACTCAACAGTCATATAAAGTGAGCGATTCATTCCCATTCAAGTGGATTAATAAAAAGTGGAAAGAAGGATTTCATGTAACTTCCATGACAACGGCTGGTAATCGTTGGGGAGTAGTAATGTCTAGAAATGCAGGATTTATTGATCAGGTATGACCTTACGCCCCAGACGCTAATTCTTTCCTTGTTTATGAACTTCCTATGTAATTTAATCTGACTAATAACAATTTTATGAAAAGGTTGTCGAGCTAGATTTCTTGTATCCGAGTGAGGGGATACATAGGAGATGGGAGAGTGGCTACAGAATAACTTCCATGGCTGCAACGCCTGATCAAGCAGCCTTTGTGCTGAGCATTCCAAAGCGTAAAACGACAGATGAAACGCAAGAAACTTTGAGAACCTCTGCCTTTCCCAGTACTCATGTAAAGGTGCCTACCTCTTATAATTCAATTTTTACTTGTGTTATTCTATAGTTTTGTTGTATTAGAAACTATTATTTTCAGATGAATTAGCTTGAACCTTGCATAAGATCAAAGAGTTTGAGCCTTTTATAGTTTATGTTTAAATTTCTGCTGTGACTATTCCAATGTTCTTTAGGTAGATTTTACTGAGTATCTATTTCCGTTTCAGTCTAATTTGTTAGATTATACTGAGTATTTATTTTCGTTTCGTTCTCCTTTGGCAGGAAAAGTGGGCAAAAAATCTTTATATTGCTTCAATATGCTATGGCCGAACCGTGTGCTGATTTTGTGGCATGTACATATCTCACTGAAGATTTTTAAGTGCGCTCTCAAAAGGCTGGAACGGGCACTAACAACCGCTATTTTGGGTGTTAGAGGGCGAGCCTCTTCTCAATGTCCCAGGGGTATACAGGCTTCCATAACGAAAACCCCTCCTGTATTTGTAAAAGGTATCCGTATATATACCATTTGAGAGATAGGGAACCAGAAAATGGCTAAAAAGCGTTCATAAATTGGAAGAATGCGACCTGGAAGCCAAGATGAGTTAGAGGGTGTAAAATTCTGCCTGAAAAAGACCAACTGATATTCAATATGGAAATGGTATTTTGTTCTTTCATATAAATGGGAGAAGAAATTCCGGCAGAGATTATTTTCACTGTAACTCCTAATCTGCTGGAATCTATTTGGTAATGAAAAATCTTTCTTTAATGTTAAACATTCTTGCCTTGATAGTTTGCTTATAAAAGCTTGAAACCATGAATTTACCGCGAAAAATATCCAGTCTTATATCTATCATTTCAGCTTCTTGCCTGGACTACTTCATTTTGACTTGTATTAAAATTTCTATGAATAAACTGTGTGTGAGAAGGCAATGCATTGCTGCCGATCCAACACATCAACCCGAGGATGTTTGTCTGATACGTAGAAAATAATTAGCGAAGAAATTGATTACCGTGTGTCCATTTCAAAGCAAAGTATCGTTTGCTGGACAAAAATGAGGAAATATGTGGTGTAAATTGGTAAAAAAAAAGCACAGTATTGATCGCTAGACAATGCAGATTTCCGTTTACTTGGTGTTTTGCACCCATGTGAGCCACTTTATTTGGTGAAAAATGGTACACAAAATTGGTCAAATTGTCAACAAATATTACAGAGAACTTGCTGTTTGCTGTTTGATGTGGATGACTTGCATACTTGTGGTTGACTTACGTTCCCTTAAATAAACAGCTATGAAATGTTAGATTGGCATAAATTGTAAGAGAATTGGGAAAAAAATGGCCTGGCTAGCTTCACTATTTGTAGCTGTTCACTTACACCTCTCATGCAATCCTTCTCTAGGTTGCCCTTCGCAGCAAAAACGAGCACTTCTCCAGTTCAAACACACTCTCCTCACACAACTGGCACTTAATGATTCTCCCAATGCTTTGCTTGCTGGGTTAGAGAACTGGGATTCGAGCTTGGACTGTTGCGAATGGGAACTAGTAACTTGTCGTTCTTCAAGATCGTTATCTAAACAAGTAACTGATCTTAATCTTAACTCTCTTCTCCCCTCACTTGCATATACAAGTAATGCAACATTGGGTGTTGTTTCTTCACATGTTTTAACTCCTCTTTTTAGCATAACAAGTTTGTTTATTGACTTATCATTTAATCTCGTTATTGGGGGCGAAATCCCAGTTTCTGGCTTTCGAAACTTGACCAATCTTGCTCATTTAGACCTTAAAATGAACCAATTTAATGGTTCAATCCCTGAAGAAATGTTTTCTTTAAGGAACTTACGGTACCTTGATATGAGTAGCAACTCATTTGTAGATACTCTGAGCTCTGCAGTAGGCGGTCTAAGAAACTTGAAGTTTCTGAATCTAGATGAGAATTTCCTGCATGGAAATATCCCAGTAGAGATTGGATACCTTGCTAAACTACACACATTATCACTTCGACAAAACCAATTCTCTGGTGGGATTTCATCCGTGTTGCTGAATTTGATTGAGCTGGATGTCTTAGACTTGCGTAATATCGCTGGTGAGATTCCACCTAATATTGGTAATTTAGCAAAGCTTTCAACACTGGCCTTGAGCAGGAATTCCCTGACAGGAGGAATTCCTGGTTCAATACAAATGATCATAAATCTCACCACCCTTGAGTTGAATAATAACTTATTATCAGGAAAAATTCCTGCTTGGTTGTTTGATTTGGAAATGCTGAAGATTTTAAATCTTGGAGGAAACAAACTTATGCTAGATAACCCTGCGAAGCTGGTTCCAAAGTGCCGGTTATCTTTGCTAGTTTTGAGGTCTTGTGGACTAAAAGGGCTAATTCCTCGGTGGATTTTGAATCAAACAAGCTTGGATTTTTTAGACCTTAGTGAGAACGAGCTCGAAGGCAGCTTCCTTCTTTGGCTAGCAGAGATGGAGATTGGAAGCATCATTTTGTCAGACAACAAGCTATCTGGTTCACTGCCACCAAGATTATTTCAATCAGAAAGTCTATCCGTCCTCGCTTTAAGTAGGAATAACTTCTCAGGGGAGTTGCCTGAAACAATCGGAGAGTCTCAGCTTATGATACTAATGCTATCAGACAACAATTTCTCTGGCCAACTGCCTCAATCATTGCCAAACATTTACAGGCTTTTGCTCCTCAACTTGTCGAAAAACAATCTCTCAGGTAACAAACTTCCTACTTTTAACCCAAACTTTTTCCTTGCATTCATTGATCTTTCTTCCAATAGATTCTACGGTGAAATTTCCACCGGGTTTGGCCCAGGTGTGATCATTCTTTCTCTAGGTGAAAATCAGTTTTCTGGTTTACTTCCTGAGAATTTGACAAACTTCACTCAGCTGAAGCACCTTGATCTTCATGACAATAACATCTCTGGAGAAATCCCATCATTTCTGTCTAGTCTTTCCTCACTTCAAACTTTAAGCCTTCGAAACAACTCTCTTACAGGATCGATCCCTAGTGATCTTGCTAACCTCACCCATCTCCAAATTCTTGATCTTTCCAACAATAAGCTTGTTGGGGACATCCCTTCAAGGCTTGGAGACTTTCCTGGCATGATCAATTCTCCTGATACATCCACTCTATCATCTGCTTTGTTTAGCTTCGATATTAAATTCCAGGACCTGATAGTGAACTGGAAAAGCTCCAAGCAAGGTTTATCTAAGTACAACCTTGATTTCTACTCTCTATTAGACCTGTCAAATAACGAACTCACAAACCAGATTCCGAGTTCATTAGGTGGTCTTGAGACGCTCAAGTTACTAAATCTTTCCCACAACGCCCTCCACGGAAGTAATCATCTAGTTTTGGTGGTCTGCAGAATGTCGAGACCTTAGATTTGTCACATAATACTCTCTCAGGGGGAATACCGGTAACATTTACCAAACTGCAACAGCTGACTACTTTAGATTTGAGCAACAACAAGCTTAAAGGAAGGATTCCAGAAAGGCCTCAGTTGAATACACTGAATGATCCTAACATGAGTCCTCAGTTGAATACACTGAATGATCCTCACATGTATGCTAATAACAGTGGGTTATGCGGGGTGCCTATACGTGTGGCTTGTCCTGATGATGCACTACCTGTAGTTAACGAGTCAGGGGAACAGCGCGAGAAATCATTTTCATGGCAGGCTGCTGGTATTGGTGTTCCAGTAGGTTTTATAATAGTAGTTTCAAGTATGTATATTGCTGCTTTTTTCAATATCAGGACCAATCGTCGTAGCTCTAACAGAGCAAGATCCAGAAGCAAGAAGTAGCCTAGCTTCTTGCCTGATGTTCTATATGCATATTTTTTTATCAATATTGGAGTAACATGGACATATTTATGGCCTTGTTCCCTTTATTTGGGTATACTATAATTTGTTCCCTTTCATTGCTTCGTATGTATAAGCTATTACTGAACAAGAAATGTATCATAAGTTAAGGGAAATTTTCCATAATGTATAAATGCATGTTAGTTTATTGCTCCCTCTTAGGCCCTGTTTGGCGGTAGCGTTTGATGTAGCGATTAGCCTTTTGACCAGTCAAAACACTACTAGAAAAAAAATAACAGTGTTTGGCAAGGTAGTGATGTGAATAGCGGTTAGCGGTAGAGGTAACGTTTAGATAGTTTTTCTCAAACGTTAAAAATAGTAGCGTTTAATAGTAGCGAATAGCGTTTGTTAATTTTTGCTTACTTTTTTTTTTTTAACTTTTGTCAAACCCTCATACTATCAACCGTTATTTTGACAGCTAACCTCTACCCACTACTAATTGACAGCTACTCGCTACCCTAACGACTACCCGCTACTCGACCACTAAAAGCTACCCGCTACCCTTAATTTTGCCAAACAGGGCCTTAAGTATTAACACTAGTAAATCTTTAAATTATTCCAAGTATGTTATAAAAAACGAATTCATGATGGAGTTTGTTTAATATGTCTCGATTAATGCTATAAAATTTCAAATTTTATAATTTTTCCAATACCTAGTTAGAAAGAGATGATACATATACACGGGGTGTATGTGGGCCAAACATACACTTTCAATAAAAATCTGTCGCGTCACCCTAAGCCAAAATAAAGAGAGGGGAAAATGGGGGGAATAAATTGGGCTAGCTGGTGGCGCCACAAAGCAAGTTTAGCGGGAGCATTTCCTTAGGTGCCAAACTAGCATTAATTGTGGGATAATTCCCACCTACTTCTTCTCAATTTATTTATTATTTTATTTTATTTTATTTTTACAAGAAGATTAGGAATTTCATTAATAATAGATAGTCAAAAGGCATTTACAAACTGTTTCGGGGTTTTTTGATGTCCTGCGGGAGAGTTACAATTCCGATACTGGAACCGGACGCCTGTACCTGCAAAACAAACGGAGACTCCGAGTGATTGGAATTCCGCCTCCAACGGTCAAGTTAGTACTTTCTTAGGGAGTAATTAATGCGGAAAAAACTAAATGTGTTTCTCTAGGTGAGAGTATTTAATGTGTGTAATCCCGTTTAATGAGGATTAATGTGCATATTTATATGCCTTGGGATGCGTGCCTATTCCTAGGTTTAGGTTAAACCTAGGGTTGACTGGGCTTTCCCCATGGATTGGGCCTTGGTGGTCGGTTATCCCATGTGTCATGGGGAGGACACGTGTCGTGTCGTAATTGGTCCATGGTGGACGGATCTTGACACGTGGCAGGCTCCTATTGGCCCATGTGAAGGACACATGGCGGAACCTGGTTGGTCCACTTGTCAGATGGTGATTGGTGGGAAAAATCCCCTAATCATTTGCCCCTCACAGGTGACACGTGACTGGTCACATGTCACTGTGACAGGTGTTGGCTCGTAACAGGCGACGACCTGCTACAGGTGTCATTTGGTGAAAGGCCGAGGGTTTTTCCCGCTCAAATTTTAAATTTGGGAAGTGACTCTTCGTCTTCTCATTTTGCCTATATAAGGGCGTGTTAACTTCAGATATTTTCACACTTGAGAACGTTTTTAAGAGAACACTCGGACCCCTGAACCTGCTCTGACATTTCGGACATTTCCAGCCTACCGCCTGCTCTGACAAGTCGGCTGATACTCAGATTACTTTCCAGATCTTCGTCAACTTCTCACTCGTTCAGGTAACCGTCTGTTCTCTCATTCTTTTACTTTAGTTTTTCTTTTTGAAATGGCACCACGGAAGCACACGACACGACCTAGGTTAGTGATCAGCCGATCACCGGGGACGGCTGAGTCTAGGACTAGGAGTGCCGCCTGCCCCTTTTCGAACCAATCTTTGCTCTTTATACAAAGTCCGA